AGTAGCACATAAACAGAAAAAACTGGAAGTGGCACTGTGGCTCAAGTGGTAGACTCTAGCCTTGAACAAAAGCAGCTCACGGACAGTACCCAGGCCCTAAGTTCAAGCCCTAGGGCTGTCAGAGAGAGAGAGTCATAGACTTTCCCTGGCTGGCTTTGAACTGCAATCCTCACATCTCAGCCTCTTGAGTAGCTAGGATTACAGGTATGAGCTTAATCTACTCTCAGCTTAATAAATATTTTTATCTTTGCATTGGTTCCATTATATACTATGAAACTCTGAGATCACCACGGAGTAGAAAGGAACATTTTCATTATTTTAATTTATTTGGATTGTAAGCAGTATGTTTTGGCCAAAGAGCACACGAAATAGCAGTTTTATTGGCCGCAAATACCAATCCCAGTGCAGTTATTTTCAATTTTTTTAAGCCTGTGCCTGCTTTTTAGCCAATACAAAAACTATAGATTCATGTAACTGATGTTATGGTATAGGAATACCCCTTGTTAAGATCATTGTGTCATTTTGTTAAGATCATTGCCTCATTTTGATGTGTGTTCTAAATGAAAAAATTTTGATCAAACTTTACTTTCTATAACATTATGAAAGTAATAAACTATTTTTCTCATTTACCAAATACAGAAATTATAAATAAAATACCTTACCATTACTACTCTAAGGACATAAATACAGGGAAGAGGCCAGACAGGTACAATAGCTCAATCGTAGCTAGTTGGGATGCAGATTATCAGGGAGAATCATGGCCCAAGGCCAGCCTCTGTAAAAAGTTAGGAAACTCCATCCTAACCAATTCCTGGGCACAGTAGTATATGCTACCATCCACACTGACATGGATCACAGCCCAGGCATACAAGGTGAGGCCCTATCTTGAAAACAACCAATGAAAAAAGGTCCTGGAGGTCTGACTAAAGTAGTAAAGCATCTGCCTAGCAGGCATGAGGGCTTCAGTTAAATCACCAATACTACCAAAAACAAAAAATAAAGGAAAAAAAGAGGAGAAAGGGAAGGGAAGAAGGAAAGGGAGGACACTTACAAAATATATAAACCAAAACACATCAGAGGATACATGAAATTAGTCTACCCCCTAACATTTAAATTCCTTCTATGCAATCTACTAGTTCAGTAGTACATTTTGTAGCTGTTTAATTAATTAAAAATTAATAATTGAGTACTGAGTGCCAGTAATTCATGCCTGAAATCCTAGCTAACTACTCAAGAGACAGAGATTGGGAGGATCATGGTTCAAAGTCAGCCTAGTCAAAAAGTTCATGAGACCCCAATTTAACCAATTGCTGGACACAGAAAGTCATGGTTCTAGGGCCGCAAGAGCAAAACGAAGTTTTTAAGTTTTAAGACCCCTTCTTTTTCCCTAAACAACAAAAAAAATTAAAAGCTGAGCATAGTGCCACACTCTGCAAGCCAAGCTATGGCAGAAACCACAAATAAAAGGAAAGCTGTTCTGGCCAGAGCAAAAAGCAAGACTCTATCTCAAAAATTGGCATGACTCCAGGAGAAAGCACCTGTTTTTAAGCACAAAGTCTTGAGTTAAAACATATACCACCAAAACAAAACAAAATAAAAACAAAAATTGAAGTCATCTCCAAAGGTAAACAAATTCTTCCCAATCCTTTTGGAATCCTTTTCTACATTAATTGTGTGATTTAGCAACTAGAGTGATGTCTTAACAGTGTTCGATTCCACAGTCTAGTCTTCCTGCTTCTCATCTACCTAAGGTCTGCATTCCTCATCTCATCATCCCTGTATTAATCAAGAAGCAAGCATACAATCCAGTTACCTCTACAGTGATCATCTTTTTCTTCTTGTAACCTTCTGAGAAATTCAGTGTGCCTTGTGCTCACTGGTCTTTCTGCATTCTAATTAGTTCTGTTACAGAGAGGGTATTCTCTTTTTTTTTTTTTTTTTTTTGGTCCGGTCGTGGGGCCTGAACTCTGGGCCTGGGCGCTGTCCCTCAGCTCTTTAGCTCAAGGCTAGCGCTCTACCACTTGAGCCACAGCACCACTTCCGGCTTTTTTCTTTTTGCTTATATGGTGCTGAGGAATCGAACCCAGAGCCTCAGGCATGCAAGGCAACCGCTCTACCACTGAGCCACCTTCCCATCCCAGAGAGGGTATTCTCTTTACCTCTGTCCTTCATACTTTTTTTTTTCTTCTGTCTTTAGTTGGAAAAGTTTGCTTTCAGTCTCCCTATTTCATTTTTGAACCAGATAGCTAAAAAGTAGAAAATGCAATGTTGTTAATATGCCTTACTAAAAGTCGGGGTGAGAGATGGGGGAGGGGGGTGAAAGGAAACCTTCCTATTTCTTATTATTTATTGAAACAAACCCTAAATCATTCCACAAAGGGTATAGGGTGGCTATAATCTAACTGCCTTTTTGTCTTAATTCAAGTTTGCTTTGTCTATACAAAAGTTATTTTTCAGTTTCATTGTGTTTTAGGTTATTGGTTAGGTTTTTGTGGGTTAGAGTAAGTATTTTCCAAGCACTGGTGACTCAACCCTGTAATCCTAGCTACTCAGGAGGCTGAGATCTGAGAATCAAGGTCAAAGCCAGCCAGAGCAGGAAAATCCATAAAACTCGTATCTCCAGTTATCCTCAAAAAGCTGGAAATGGAGCTGTGGCTCAAGTAATAGAGTACTATCCTTGAGCAAAAAAGCTCAGAGATAGTGTCTAGGCCCTGAGTTCAAACCCCAGGATGGACCAAAAAATAGAATAAGTATCATCTCATAATTTTTTTTGAGAAAATAAACTTTTAAGCTATAACTTTTTGTTAGAGTCCTGTATTCATTTCTACAACACTTAAAAAGAAAGCCTGTTTTAAGACTTTCCTTCTATGATTTGTCATTCCACTAAGACAAGAATTTGTAAGTATAAGTTTCATATCCATTGTAAGCATGTGAATATATACTCCCACAGCTTCCTACTTTTAATAAAGAATTCACCTTGGTTTCAAAAAAAAAACCTTCAGAGATAGAAACATAGCTTTTATGTATAAACATTCTGCTGATTTAAAGCACAAAAACCTTTCTGGTAGAGTTGTACTAAAAACCAGTTAAGCTTATATGTGATTGAAATTTCCATTTGAAATATTGAAGGTTTCATATATATATGATTGGGAAATTCATGTAAAGTACCTTTAAGATGTGCTTTTTGCTCCTTAAGACAATAATTTTCCTGCCTTAGTTTATGGATATGACAGGTTGACTCCCTTAACCATTGCTTATAGGATGAAGTCTAATGTTATGCATGTTAAATGTGAGTTATCACATACATAATTGTGTTTTTTGTTAAAACAGTATATATGGTATGTGAATTGAATCCCAAAGCTTGTACAAAATATACAACATAGTAATGTAACAGTAAGTAGATTACAGTAATGATAGCTATACATTGATATTATAAGAAAACAAGGGTTGGCTTAAACTGCTATGAATTTGTTCTTTCATTATTCAAATAATTTTATGTATAGTGATGAGGTGAGGTATATCTTTAGAGGTTTCTTATAACCTGCATCATACTAAATTTATGTAATATCGTGTTTAAGCGGTAATAATGTAGTTCTTAGAACTTGAACTTTAGAACCAGATACAAGTTCAAGTGGTAGACCTTAAACAAGATTAACTCTTCTCTGAACCTTTCAAAAAGCAGTACACACACCTCAGAAGGGTTCTCATAAATGCCAGGCAGGGAGAGAGAAAGATGTAAAATACCTAGAATAACACTTAGCAAATGGAAGAGGCATCAGTAATAATTAACTATTAGTGTAGTATTGTAATTTTTAAAACAATTGAGTGTTTTGATTGCTTTTCTGTGCTATAAGCTATTTAAATTGAAATATTCTAAGAAATATGGATAATTTTGGTTTTTAGAGATAAGCCTAGCTTTTCTTACCTTTTTCCTTACTCTTTGGGAAGATTACCAAAACTTTGCTAAATGAGCTTAATTGATTAGTTTATGTAAGTGTACTTTGCTTATTTGATGAGTTCATGTTAATGTATTTTTATGGGGTTTGGGTTCATTTGTCAATGGGAATCAACCCCAGTGATCTTTGCATGTATGTGGTTAATTATTTATTAAAATTTTTATTATGACATAATTAAACATTTAAATATTTGTCACCTGGTTGGATAAAATGAGATTTCTCCTATAGAATCAGATATTGTTAAACATAAAAGATTTACTGCCAGGCGCTGGTGGTTTCCACTTGTAATCCCAGCTACTCAGGAGGCTGATTGCTGAGGACTGAGGTTCAAAACCAGCCTAGGGAGGAAAGTCTCTGAGACTTTTATCTTCAGTTAACCACCAAAAGCCATAAGTGGAACTGGGCATCAGTGGCTCATGCCTATAATCTTAGCTACTCAGGAGGCTAAGATCGGAGTCACGGTTCAGAGCTAGCCAGGGCAGGAAAGTCCTTGAGGTTCTTATCTCCAATTACCCACCGGAAAACCATAAGTGGTGCTGTGGCCCAAGTGGTAAAGCACTTGCTTTGATTTGAAGAGCGTAGAGACAGCATCCAGTCCCAGGGTTCAAGCCCCAAAACCGACCAAAAAAAAAAAAGCCATAAGTGGAACTGTGTCTCAAGATGTAGTGTGTTATCCAAGATCACAAAAACTCATGGTGCTGCAAGGAAGTGGCACTGTGGCTCAAGTGGTAGGGCGCTTGCCTTGAGCTGAAGAGCTGAGGGACAGCGCTAAGGCCCAGAGTTTAAGCCCCACGACCGACCAAAAAAAAAAAGAACAACAAAAACTCATGATGCTTACTCCCTGAGTTCAAGCACCAAGACCGGCGTCAAATTAAATAAATAAATAAAATAAAACACGATGTATTTCTCCCCTTCTTGCAAGCATTTGTGGAAGAATTAATTTTAACTGGTTATTGGCACTTTACTTTTTACTGAGCAGATAAAGCTTGATGTTGACTTTTAGATGGAATCTAAGGGATTCACTTTAAAATATTGTGTTCCTAGGGCAAATGGTATCATCGGAGACAAGCTGTAAAAGAATTGCATAGTACATTGATACGTCTTTTAAATGAATTATTACCATGGGAACCAAAGTTAATGAAGGCTTTTCAAAGAAACAGGTAATTAAAGCTTTATGATCAGTTTTACTTATTCTAGAGCTCTTAATTGATGGTTTGGGGAAAGATACACTTTTCCATTCATTTGTAATTCTGCAGATATTTTTGAGTATCCGCTGCATGATACTTCCTCAAACCGTGGGAAAACAGTGTTGATTAAACCAACCCTCTTCTCTGTGACTTATATTCTAATGGAAGAAACATACAAACTCAAATGTGATAAAAGCTGAAGGGATAGGAAATGCCTGATTTGGAGAGGATGAAGATTATTCTTCATAGAAATGAGGGAGATAGGCCTGTGGATCATCTGAGGGAAAAGCAGAGAGACTAGAAAGTGGGTAGTTTGTAAAGTTGGGATATCTGTTGTTTTGTTTGTTTGTTTCTTGGTTTGTTTTTTGGAGAAATGCAAAGAGGCAAATTAACTCAAAGCAGCGTAAATGAGAAAGACAAGAATCACAGAGGTAAAATGAAAGACATTCAGGTCATATAGGACTTTGAAAAGTTTGGCTTCTTTTTTTTTTTTTTTTGGATCCAGTTGTGGGGCCTGAACTCTGGGCCTGGGCACTGTCTCTCAGCTCAAGGCTAGCGCTCTACCACTTGAGCCACAGTGCCACTTCCGGCTTTTTTTCCTTTTGCTTATGTGGTGCTGAGGAATTGAACCCAGGGCCTCATGCACACAAGGCAAGCTCTCTACCACTGAGCCACCTTCCCAGCCCCTGAAAAGTTTGGCTTTTACACTGAGCAGTACTGAAAGGTTTCACATAGAGAAAGATGTAGTCTTTATCTTTTCATTGTTGTTTATTTATTCACAGAGCAGGGTATTCAACCCAGGATTTTGCACATGCTAGACAAACATTCTCTAGCTGAGCTATATCACCACACTTAGATGTTAAAGCACTCAACTCTAGCTGTTCATCACAGCAACAGTGTTATAAAATATACTTTACCTATTGTTTTTAGTTTAAAAGTGTTCACATTAGTAATGCATCTTAGTTATTTTGAGTTATTCCATAATTTTTAAGTTTTCCAAAGTAAAGCAAAAAAAATCTTTGAAATGAACAGTGTCAGTTGAACTTACCATAATTATACCTATTCGTTCCTTGCTTCCTTTAAACATGTCTAGAACAATATTTCTTTTCTTTCCTGTTTCCTCCAAAAGAGGCAGTTTAGAAACTGTTCCATATTGATACTTGGGAAATGCCATTCCTACTTCATAGTGTATGTGTAAAAGTAGCAATATGCCATGATCATTAAACTTTAATCACTTTGCTGTTAGAAATTTATTTTACAAAATTATACTAATGCATTTAGAAAAAGAAAATGAAACTGCTGTAGTAAAAACTAAGTTTGTTTCAAAAAGTTTATTTAGACATTGGTTAGATTGTCTTTGAAAATTACAATAACCTATGTATCCATCTGCTTTGCAACTATATATAAACTTGTCTACAGTTTTTAATTTCCTAACAACAAAATAAATATTTTGTTACTTAAAAAAGTTTCAGATCACCCACTGATGGCTCACTCCTGTTTTCCTAGCTACTCAGAAGGTTGGCATGTAAGAATTTCAGTTTGAAGCCATCCAGACAGAAAAATCCCTGAAACTCTTATCTCCAATTAATCATTAAAAAGCTAGAAGTAGAGATGTGGTTCAAGTGGTAGAGTGCCAGCCTGAAGCAAAAAAACCATTTGAGAGCTGATGGCCCTGACTAGATAGATAGATAATAGATAGATAGATAGATAGATAGATAGATAGATAGATAGATAGATAGATAGATAGATAGCTGTTGGCCCTGTCTAGATAGATAGATAGATAGATAGATAGATAGATAGATAGATAGATAGATAGATAGATAGATAGATAGATAGATAGATTAGATTAATAAAATAGTAAACTAACACAATAAATAGATAACTTTTTAAGAAAAGGAAGACTGTTGATGATGTGTTGAGGAAGATTAGGAATAAGAATTCATAACAGGGGGCTGGGAAGGTGTCTCAGTGGTAGAGCGTTTGCCTTGCATGCCTGAGGCCCTGGGTTTGATTCCTCAGCACCACATAAGCAAAAAGAAAAAAGCTGGAAGTGGTGCTGTGGCTCAAGTGGTAGAGTGCTAGCCTTGAGCTGAAGAGCTGAGGGACAGCGCCTAGGCCCAGAGTTCAGGCCCCACAACTAACAACAACAAAAAAATTAGTCTTGTTTCTTACAAATAACATATTTTGTTACTTATGAAAATTATCTGAATGATAATAAGTGGACTAGATGAAGAAGAAATGTTTGGCATATTAATACCTTGACTAGACAAAAGGATGAACATAATTAGAAGTATTAGCTAGATATGAATGCAAATGAAAATACCTTGCAGATAAGATGTGAACCTTGAAATTCTCTTTAAGTTGCTATTATATGCCATGAAATAAGTTGCTGTTATATGCCATGAAATAAGAAGCAATCAAAGCTAGAAAAGTGGTTCAGGCTTATAATTCCTAGCTACAGGCAGAGATGAAGAGAATTGAAGTTCAAGGTGAGCCAGGCAAAAAGTTTGTGAGACTCTAACTCAACCAATAAGACAATTGGCACAGTGGTATGTACCTGTTACCCAGTTACGTTAGAAGTGTAATTGTTCAAATCCAGTCCATGCCAACCTGGGAAAAATGTGAGCACTATTTAAAAAAATAAATGGGATTAGAGACATTACTTACACTATCTGGAGGCATATATAGCACTTACCTGTCCAGCACAACATCCTGAGTTCAAAACCCAGTGCCATAAAGAAAGAAAGGAGTACCTAGTAACTGAGCACAAAGAGAGCTTCATGCTGTCCCCACATAAATGCCTCTCTTTCTTACCTTACAGATTGAGTCTTTTTTTCTTTTTTTTGATCAGTTGTGAGGCTTCAGGCTCTGGCCTGGGCACTGTCCCTCAGCTCTTCAGCTCAAGGATAGTGCTCTAACACTTTGAGCCACAGCACCACTTCCAGTTTTCTGGTAGTTAATTGGAGATAGGAGTCTCATGGACTTTCCTGCCTGGGCTGGCTTATAGATTGAATCTTCCAGCTACCCTTTGCTAGCTCCTGCCAGCACCTCACAGCCCCACAAAATTCCAAGCAATCGTTTAAAACAAGTAATTAAGTAACACTTTTTGAATATGTGCCACACAAACTATGAAGTGAATACTGTTGTTATCCCCATTCTATAAATAAGTAAACTCATGTTCCAGAAAGATTAAGGCATTTGCCTAAAGTTTTACAAATAGTCAATTTAAGAAGTACTTAAACTCCAATATGCACAAAATAAGAATAGCAAAAATAAATTGGAAAATGTATGTTCAGATTTTTCTGGAGGGGGAGCGAAAGGATGCCATTTCCTGAGGGTTTTTTGTTTTCTCTTTTTCTCAAGGCTAGCGCTCTACCATTTGAACCACAGCTCCACTTCCAGCTTTTTTGGTGGCTAATTGGAGATAAGAGTTTCATAGACTTTCCTGCCTGGACTTGCTTCAAACCACATTCCTCAGATCTCAGCCTCCTCAGTAGCTAGGATTACAGGCATAAGCCACCAATGCCTGACTATTACAAATTTTTTTTTTAACAGACAAACAGTAAAAGTTTAGGTAAAATAGAAATTTAGTTGAAAGCAAAAGGAATTATAAGAGATCCCCAAAATAGCATCGAATCATTTAGAAATGTCTCCATCTCTCCATAGTTTCTCAGAGACATTGCTAAGATTTCTGTGAAAGTTTCAGAAAGTAATTATTTTTTAGCTCTGCTAAAAAATTATATGCCAGGATTAAGTGATGGATATATCTATGACAATGTTTATTGTTCAAATAATCAATATTTTTGCTTAAATTTCTTAATTAGCTTTTAAAAATGATCTTCTAAACTATGCTAAAATTAATTATTTTAATACTATTTCATGTCACTGTAACTCCTCTGTACATCAACTTTATAATAACAATAATTTAAAAAATGTTTAGAGACTATCTCAAATCCATTAGTCAATGAAACTACAAAAATTTACCTTTCTCCCACTTAATAAGTCTAATAACCTTTAGAAAGACAAATAGGTGATAGATATGTCCTAATTTTATTCAGAAATTTGCAGGTAATCCTTTCTATTTCTTAGAAATAGGATTTGTCATGAACTTTACAACTTTGGTGCAGGGGGGGAGGAGAGGGGGGGGAGGGGAAATTGGGGGGGTGGGGGGGGGAGAGGATAGAATAGGAAGGGGAAACAAAGAAGGAGGCTACAATGCTTGATAAGAAATGTACTCATTATCTTGCCCATGTAATTGTAACCCCTGTGTACAGTATTTTCACAATTAAAAAAAGAAATAGGATTTGTCTTCTTGATCACTGGTAAGACTGAACTAATATGCATCTTACGTACATTAAGATTTAAACTGAAGCTGGGTATATATGGTTGCACATGCCAGTAATCCTAGCACTCTAAGAGAAAAGGCAGAAAGATCACCAGTTCAAGGCCAGCCTGGCCTACATAGTAAGTTCAAGGCCAGCCTCAGCCTTATAGTGAGACCTTGTAACAAAAAAAGTGTTAATTAATATAGTTCACACCTGTAATTTCACTACTCAGGAAGTACTCACAGTTTGAAGCTAGCCTGGGCAAAAAGTTGGCAAGGCACCATCTCATCAATAAGCCAAGTTCGGTGATGCACACCTGTCTTCCCATCTACACTGAAGGCTATGGATAGGAGATTCAGTCCGAGACTGGCCTTGTAAAACACAAGGAAAAAATGCAAAAGAGGGTGGAATGTGGTAGAGTACCTGTCTCGCAAGTGCAAGACCCTTCATTGAAACCAGAGTACCACCAAAAATGTTAAAAACAAAAATAGGCTAGGTACCAGTGGCTCATACCTATAATCCCAGCTACTTAGGAGGATGAGATCCAGAAAATCATGATTGAAGCCAGCCTGAGCAAAAAAGTTTGTGAAATAAATAAGTCATACATATAAAATAAGTCATACATATAAAATATTGTAAAATAGGGCTGGGAAGGTGGCTCAGTGGTAGAGCGCTTGCCTTGCATGCCTGAGGCCCTGGGTTTGATTCCTCAGCACCACATAAGCAAAAAGAAAAAAAGCCGGAAGTGGTGCCGTGGCTCAAGTGGTAGAGCGCTAGCCTTGAGCTAAAGAGCTGAGGGACAGCGCCCAGGTCCAGAGTTCAGGCCCCACGACCGGACCCAAAAAAAAAAATTGTAAAATAAACCAAAAAAGATGAAAACCTAATTTTAGTGTCAATTGAAAATATTTTAATGTAGAATTTAAAATGCTAACAGGGAGTTTAATACAGATGTATTATGAGTTATATTGGGTATTTTATTTTAGGAGTCGCCTAAAGAAAGACTATGATGATTTCAGAAGACAACCTGATCATGATAAATTTTCTCGAGAGCTGTGGACTACTGAAGAATGTGAAGGAGATCCTGGGAAAGAATCTCCTAAAGTAGAAATCAATAGGTCTATAGACTCAACAGAACCTCTAGATATCCTGGAGAAAGATCACTTTGATTCAGGTAGGCATTAAAAGTGTTTAAAAAGCAATACTAAAGATAGCTTTGTTGTTGTTGTTATTATGGAGACAAAAGATAATCTGGTTTGAGAAATCAGATATGTTTTAAAGAAGTACTGTCCATGTCCTTATGAGAAATTTCTTGGGAGACACTATTATATTTCTAAGACTTTCTGGAGCCAACGACTAACTCTAAACTATAGGTATGTCATTGCTTATCACATACCATATAACCTTAATCTGTTACTCCTTTGAAATTATTTCATTCTCTTCTTTTTTTATTACTAGTTTTGAAGTCCTATTTCTGAACTGTGGAATTTGGAAAGTCTAATCCTGTGAAGTTTGTCGTTTTTTAAATGACCAAGATTGGTGGCCTAATGAGACCAGAGGAAATACATCATTTTAGTAAGGATAGGTGTCTGGGTCAGACTACATGTAACTCGTCCATTAATTGCATAAATCTAGTTTAATGGCTTTCTTCAGTTATATGAAAAGTTAGTATAAAAGTTTATGGTTATGAATATACCAACAGTTTTTCATTGTTTTGATGAATTATAAAAATATAACTTCTCAACCCAGTTTGTTAGGATCACAGATTTTTTACTAGAAGGATAAACATTAGAAAAAGACATTTTTTTATCCTTTAGAGTCTCTAAAAACAGAATAGAATGAAGAACTCTCTGTTCCTCTCCTTTTCCCTTCCCCTTCCCCTTCCTCCTCCCCATCTCCCTTTTCTCCTCCTCCTCTTTTCTCTCCCTTTCCCTCTCCCTATCCTTTCCTTTTTCTCTTTACTGGGATTGAATTCAGGGCCTGGTGCTTTCATTGAGTTGCTCATTCACTGCTGTTTCTCTACCACTTGAGCCACACCTCCAGCCAGAACTGTCTTTGGTGTCAAGATTTTCCTATCAAGAGGAAGAAAACAGTCAAATAGATTCCTTCCCAAATTAAACTCTGAGTCCTACTTGTTAGCTTAAGTATTCTTTTTTTTTTTTTTTGTCGGTTGTGGGGCTTGATCTCTGGGCTTGGGCGCTGTCTCTGCGCTCTTCAGCTCAAGGCGAGAGCTCTACCACTTGAGCCACATCGCCACTTCCAGTTTTCTAGTGGTTTATTGGAGATAAGAGTTTTATGGACTTTCCTGCCGGGGCTGGCTTTGAACCTCGATCCTCAGAACTCAGATAAAAAGTTTCCTTTTGCATTTACATTGGCAACAGAATTAGAAAATAATTGATTGCTCTAGTCAAAGGTCACATTAATCTCCATAGATGGTGCTGAAGCTTTTGAATCACCCAACAGTAAATTTCTTGATAAATTGACAGCTGAAAGATTGACTTGCTTTAATTATTGGTGTTATTACTATTCAACCAATGTTTTCTGTAAACAAATACTTGTTTTATAATTTTCAGATGATATGAAATTGTCAGAAATTGATTTTCCTATGGCCAGAAGCAAACTGTTGAAAAAGGAATTGCCTTCTAAGGATGTACTGAGGACACTGCCTAAAACACTTAAACGACAGTCCAAACAAACTAATTATCTGGATGATAGCACAAAAGAGCTTTCCCCAAGGAAGAAGGCAAAGTTAAGCACAAGTGAAACAACAGTTGAAAATTTACAAGGTGATATGCAGATTGACTGTTTGAATGAATCAAAGCGTATAGAGCTACCATTTCCAGAGTCACTTGCCTCAGTGGATTCAGTACCAGTGTCTACTCTCCAAAAAGGGACCAAGCCCATTCAGGCATTGCTTGCAAAGAATATTGGGAACAAAGTGACCTTAACAAATCAACTGCCCCCTTCTACAGGTAGAAGTGCTCCTGCTGTGGAAAAGCCAGTTGTATCTCCTCCAGAAGCAAGCCCCATGAAGCCAGCATTAACCTGCCTATCCAGTACAAAAAGTCCTTTACAGATGGTATACAAAATGCCCTGTGGTCAGTGGTTGCCCATAGATCTTCACAATAGCTCTGTGAAAATTCAGATGCAACCTGTGATGGATCCTAAAACAGGAGAAAAAATTATGCAACAGGTTCTTATTTTGCCTAAGAATTTTGTGATTCAGCACAAGGAAGGAAAAGCAGTTGCAAAAGAAATATCACCACTTCAACAAAAAGGTACAGAACAACATTACCCATCTTTCCCAGCAACAGCAAGTACAAATGCTTCTTCAGCGTCAGTTCTTGTCACCTCAACAAGTACTGTTTCTGCCCAACTGCCTAACACAGTTTTTAACAAGATAATTGCACCTCCATCAAATAGTAGTAGTGCTAGACCACAGCCTTTGTCACCTAAATCCTCTGTAAGTAATTTATTATTACCACCAGTTAAAACTAGCCAGAGTGAAGCAGGAAAAACCAAGAATGCAGTTTCAGCAGCCACATTCCCCCAGCCTGTTGCTTCACCTACTGTTTCCTCAACAGCTCAACCTCTGTTATCAGCCACAACACTAAGTGGGCCTACAAATCTTGGTAACCCCCTCACCTGTTTTGCACAACAAACTGCTGACTCTGCTGAAGCAAAGCAGGAACTGAAAACTGTGTGTATAAGAGATTCACAGTCAATTCTTGTTAGGACACGAGGAGGTAACACTGGAGTTGTAAAAGTGCAGACCAATCCAGATCAGAGTTCCCCCAACAGCTTATCTTCAGGCTCGGTTTTCACATTTGCTCCTCAACTTCAGGCATTTCTGGTGCCCAAATCAACTTCATCATCATCATTTTTTTCACAAATAGCTGGAATGACTACTACATCTAGTCTCCCACAATGCAGCCAAACACCCACTTCTGTTTCCATTCCTTGTGGCTTTAATCCATCTGTGGGAAAAAATCTCAAACCTATGTTAGGCCAGCCCTCCAGCACTGGTAGTTTGATAAATAAGACTTCACCCACACCCTCTTCTCCCTTGAAGTCATCCTCTGTTTCTTCCAGCACTCTACTACCATCAACAACAAATAGTTCAGTTAATGTAATTAACATATCAACAGGAAGTTTTGGTCAAACAAATGCAAATGCTATTCATACTCCAAATAAACAGCAGCAAGTAGATTATATCACAAAGAGTTGCCCTATTATGAGATCAGAAGCAACAGCAGCAATAAATGGAGATGTGATCAGTGGGACTCCAGTTCAGAAACTTATGCTGGTATCAGCTCCATCTGTTCTTCCTTCTAGCAATGGAACTACAGTTAATGTGGAACCTGCGCCAACCTCTACAGGTATTTCAACCCAGAAATTAGTTTTTATTAATGCTCCAGTTCCCAGTGGCACTTCTGCCTCAACTATTGTTGCAGAACCATTGAAACAAAGTCTTTCTCCCCACCTGAATAAAACATACATTAAGACTCCAGAACAACCCCAGATAGTACTAATTCCATCTTCGGTGGGAGCACCATTAAAATTAAATTCCTCCCCAACTGTGTCTCAAATAAAAGATGTGAAAATTGGGCTAAACATAGGTCAAGCAATTGTAAATCCTTCAGGCCATGTACCAGCTATACCATCAATTAACATATTACAAAGTGTAACACAGAAAGGAGAAGAGAAAAGTAGCAAGGGCTATGTTTTGCCACTGTCAACAACTGGTAATTCAGTTTCATTAAGCTCAAATTTTGTGAGTCAAAATATTCCCGCTGTTAATGAATCAGTGGTTTCTGCAGCTAAAGCAGTAAACATGTTTTCAGTTACAGGAGCAAATGTTTCTTTGGGTTCCCTTTCAGTGACCTCATCCTCTGCTGCAGTTGGGACACAACCTCCTGTGTTAGTCAGTGGAAATGATACCTCTTCAAGAATTATGCCTATTTTGTCAAGTAGACTTTCCACATCAAATCTCGGAAACACTGTGGCTATATCAACTGTGAAAACAGGACATCTTGCATCCTCTGTTCTTATCTCAACTACACAACCAACATTGACTCCCAAATGTCTAACATCAGCTTTGCAAATTCCTGTTACTGTTGCCTTGCCCTCACCTGTGACTACATCTTCAAAAATAATCAGCACAGTTCCACAATCAGCAACAGCAACAGGAGCCACAAATCCTGTATCTCTTTCTAAAAGACAATCTCGAACTTCTCTCCCATTTCAATCACCAGGGACTTCAACTACAGTGCCAACAAATGGAAACACAAATAAACCTCAAACTGAATTGTCAACACTTTCGCCAAGTCCAGGTAGAATCATTAATATTTCCAATTTTACTTCTCTGCCAAACCACCAAATGTCCCCTGCTTTAGTAAAATCAACCCCCAGTTTCAATTGTGCTCCAAGTGGCTCTGTTGTTCACACTGCTACACCACCATCAAATGTAACTAGTCTGGTAGGGGGTGCCTTCAGTGAACCTTGTATTCAGCAAAAAATAGTTATCAACACCAGTACACCTTTGGCACCTGGTACTCAGATCATGATTAATGGAGCCCGGTTTATTGTCCCACCACAAGGTCTTGGAGCTGGCAGCCATGTTCTCCTTATATCTACTAATCCAAAATATGGACCTCCTTTGGTTCTAAACAGTGGCCAAGGCATTCAGGCTACACCAGTAGATAATCCTGCCCAGAAGGTAACAGTAGGATCAAACCATTCTTTGGGTGGGCAACCTATAAAACATTCTCTAAGAAGCTCTACAAAAATTATAAACTCGCTTGGGAATGCCAGTTCTCTTCCCACAGTACATACAACACCACAAATTGTAAACACAACTGCTAAAATTTCTATTCCACCTCCTGCACCAGCAGTGTCATTGACTTCAGTTATTAAGTCTCCTCCAGCTACTCTTTTGGCTAAGACATCTTTGGTGTCTGCCATTTCTTCTGGTAATCCTCCACTGCCAAGTAGCACTTCGGTATTGCCTTTGGACACATCTGTGAAAAAATTGTTGGTTAGTCCAGAAGGAGCCATTTTGAACACCATAAATACTCCAGTCTCTAAGGTTTCTTCATTGTCTTCATCTCTTTCTCAAATTGTTGTATCTGCCAGTCGAAAACCTGTCTCTGTCTTCCCTGCTTTTCAATCATCTGGTTTAGAGAAACCTGACACAGCTGCATCTTGAATTAGACTAAACGAGCCAGTTTTTAAATATTGGGGCATTGTTTTAACTCCCTTGAAAAATTTTAACTGTTTATTATCTGTTGAAAACATACTCTATACATAGTTGAGAGAATGTGTACGTACGTGCGTGCGTGCGTGTGTGAGTGTGTGTGTGCTTTAGCTTGCAGCAAGATTTTCTTTTTTTAGGGAGGGAAAAGTGTATAGAGGGAAAAGTGTATACCATTTCACTTATTGATAGGAGGATGTTTTTCAGAAGTTCTTTGTTTAAATATATGGTCAAGATTTACTTGTCTGTATAAAAAAATTGAACAAAGTCAAATTTGACTAGAGTAAGCTAGCCTTTTGCACACTTAAGTCAACATTTCTTTTTTGAATTTGAACTATTACAGCGTATTGATGATATAGTTTTCTGTGTCATTAGTAAAATCTTATTTTTGTTTCTGTACAAAGAATATATATATTTATGCATTGTGAAAATGCAGCCCATGGTGTAAAATTGTACATATTCCTAAATCCCTAACAAGCTGTACTAAATATATGTACAAAGAACTATGCTGTCTTATTTATGTTTTGTTTACATAATGTATAGTTTTTTAAGTATTTTAGTAATTTTGGACCAGTGAACTGTTAGCAACAATGCAGAAGGATCTGCATGTAATAAACTTGAGTTGCTGTATTTCTTTGTTTGAATTTGCCATTTTTAAAATGTGTTTTTGTTTCATTGAAAAAATTGCATGATATAATTAAGACAGGCCTTTTTTAAAAAAGAAAAGAGTGTGAAGGCTAGGAAATGTGTATTAATAATGCTATTTGTGTACAGTTTTACAATTTACATTTACTTTCATGAAATCTCATGTGATTTTCACATTACTCAAGCAGTTATGTGCTACCCAGCTGTTAGGTGGTAGAGCCAGTATTTGAGCTTAATGCTCCAGAATTTTTTCTCTGGTTTTACATCTATTTTTAAAAGTAGATATAGAATTTTTATTCTAGATTTCATAGTTCGACTTTTTAAAAATCCACTATCAAATTATACATTGAATTTTTTTCCTAGCCAATATATTTTGTATCTGTTAATGTACCTCTAATATGTTTCTTAAAACTTATTTGCTCTTTCCAGACAGGGTCTTGCTATTTAGGCTAGGCTGGCTTGAACTCATGGTCCTGCTGAATCAACCTCTAGAGTAGCGTTTAGAAAAAATATACCGCACACTCAACAAAACTTTTTATTTATTTTTTTTGGGTGCGGTCGTGGGGCTTGAACTCTGGGCCTGAGCGCTGTCCCTCAGCTCTTCAGCTCAAGGCTAGCGTTCTACCACTGGAGCCACAGCGCCACTTCCGGCTTTTTTCTTTTTGCTTATGTGGTGCTGAGGAATCGAACCCAGAGCCTCAGGCATGCAAGGCAAGCACTCTACCACTGAGCCACCTTCCCAGCCCAACTTTTTATTTTAAAATAATTTTAGATTCACAGGAAGTTGCAAATATATAAAGAAATCTCCTTTACCCTTCACTTTCCTTTCCCTAAATAAGTTAATTTTTAAGTTAGGGTGTATTGTTTTGATTTTCCAGACTTATATGTAAGGAAATGAATTTTTTGGTAGTTTAGCATTAAAAGTGAGTGTGAATATCAGTTATCTTTCTTATTCTTTTTTGTTTTATCCCAATTACAAAGCGATTACTTAAATTCCATTGTAAAGCAAATTTTGTGGCTCAGATAATTGTTTGATTTTTGTAGTAATTCAGAATATGCCTCATTCTAAATAAAAGGTAGCTTTTCTATTTATTGGATATTTATTACCTTATTTGAGGTATACTGATTATATATACATTCCTTTTACAATATTATTGTTAAACCTTTCCACAAAGAATTACAGTATAAAATGATAGGCCTAATAATTGCTTTGGAAATGGTAAGTGGAAAGAATTGTGTGTGTTCCTGAAAAGATACTAAAAAGCTCTCAAAAATTTTGGGAAGAGGGAAGTATGTGGTAAGTGTCTGGATTTTGGTTTGGTTTGGTTTATGTGTTGTGGAGCACTGTGTGTGTGGTATGTGGGTGTGTGTGGGTGTGTTTAGATAGGATCTTACCGTGTAGCCTAGTGTGACCTCAGGATCCTCCTGCATGCCACTCCATCCAGCTTTTCAAAATGTATCTTTAAAGCCAACTGCCAGTGGCTCATACTTGTAATCCAAGCTGCTCTGGAGGCTGAGATACGAGGATTTCTGTTTGAAGCCAACCCATGCAGGAAAGCCTGTGAGTCTTACCACCAATTAACTGACAATAACCCAAAAGTACCTACGGCTCATGAAGTGGAGTGCTAGCCTTGAGGGGGAAAAAAAAAAGTTCAGGAACAGCCAAAAAAAAAAGTATCTTTATTCTTTAAGACAGTACCTTTGTCAATCATGTCTACAATATGCTCACACTCCCCCTTTTCCTGTTAGCTTAAAAAAACACTGGGAGCTCAGAATATGGATGATATGTAAAGTGCATTACGTTACATATAGGTGCTCAATGAATATATTTCTATACCCAGCTTTTAAAACAAACTGTTCCCCTTTAGTCTCAAAAGAGTTCTCTAAACTTCCAGAAAATAATTTACTGAGTTATCTGAGACCTAACTTTAATCCTAGTGAAGGATCTAATTAACCATTAAAATACCTTCCAATCTCTGGGTGTGTGCGGGGGGAGAGTGTGTACTAGGGCTTTAACTCAGAGCCTCACACTCTTAGCGTTTTCACCCATGACCTGCATGCTGCCATTTGAGTCATACCTCCAATCTGGCATTTTACTGGGTAATTGGAGATAGAATCTCTCAGACATATCTGTCTTGGACATATCTGTCCAAGCAAGCTTCAAATTACAATCCTTACATCTTAGCCTCCTGAGTATTAGGATTACAGGTGTGAGCAATTGGCACCTGGCCTCTTCCAACTCTTCATCCCAAAAGTTTAATAAAATCTCCAAAGCTGTAAATTAGGGAAACTTTAGATTGAAGCCTAAAATTTCATGGTAACCAAGCATTGGTGGTACACACCTATAATCCTTGCTACTTAAGATGCATGATCTGAGTATCACAGTTCAAAGCCAGCCTGGACAGGAAAGTCCAGGAAGACTCATCTCCAATTAACCACCAAAAAGCCAGAAGTGGAGCTGTGGCTCAAGTGGTCTAGCAAAAATGTGCCCATTCCCTAAATTCAAGCCCCACGACAAGAACCACAAAATAGTTTTTTTTAAAGTCTCCTCGAACTGGAAGTAGCACTGTGGCTCAATGCTAGAACGCTAGCCTTGAGCTGAAGAGCTGAGGGACAGTGCCCAGGCCCAGAGTTCAAGCCCCATAACCGAAAAAAAAAAAAAAAAAAAAGTTTCCTCATGGCTTGGAAGTGGGCCAGGTACAGAAGCACTGAACTCAAATCTCAGTACTATGTAAAACTTCAGGCTTTCCCTGCCAGCTTTTACTTTATTCCAATTGACTGCATTCTAGTTTTCTTTTAGCTTGGAACACATCAAGATCTTTGCAGATGTCCTCTCTGATTTAATATTTGGTTACAGGTTCAAATGACATGTAATTCTTTCTCCTTGCCATACTCTAGCCAGTAGCATAATATTGCAGTCAGTCATAGATTGAGGAGAGAGATTAACAAGAAAGACATAGTACTCTTCACAATTATAATTATTTATGATTATTTTAATGACTGTAATACTTTGGAAAAACCACATGGCATCCCAGGTACTAGCACACAGTATTCAATATCTACTCGTTAAGTAAGTGAATAGAATCTTAGTTAAGGTCTAGTTCACTTGCTAAAATTAATGTTCTAAACTGGCCAGTGTAGCACATCTCAACAATCAGGAAGTTGAGGCAGGATTGTTATTTCAGGAAAGCCTAAGCTATCATGAAATATAATGAGACCTGTCTTTACAAAACAGAAACTACTACATATTTGATGAATAAACTTAAGTATTCAAACAGCTGCATTTCCTTTGCCTCAAGTTCTGTAGGTCAAATGGGTAAACATTTTGGTTAGAGTGCAAACTCCTCAGTTTTTATGCTCTTTTAAGTATTCATCTAAGGGAAAAGCTACTAAAGAACGGGTTCACAATGCTAAGGAAGTTACATTTCTACATTCAGTGTAGAATCAGGCCCATTTGGGTAACTATTCAGTATCATTTAAATACTTCTCAACGCAGGCTAGAATAACATCACTTTCTAATACATTAGCACTTCTCTTTCATTCCTTATAATGCTTCCAATCTAAGTCAGTAACTGACTGCATTCAGTAACTGACATAAGTTTTGCAACAGTCTGGGTGCCAGTGGCTCATGCCTGTAATCCTAGCTACTCAAGAGGCTGAGCAACTCAAAGCCACCCTGGGCAGGAAAATAGGTGAGAGTCTTCAATTAACCACTAAAAAGAGGAGCTGCGACTCGTGGTAGAGCACCAACCTTGAATGGAAAAGCTTAAGATATAGCACTTAGGCCCTGAGTTGAAGCCCCCAGCCTCTGCACGCAAAAAAATATTGATCACTGTAGCATTGACTCAAGATCAATTTAAATATATACTCAAACCAGGAAAATATTTAACTTAGAGCAGAGAGGTAAATTTAGAAACAAAATTTTTGTGTGTGTACCAAGACTTGAGTTCAGGGCTTTGTTCTCTCACTTGACTTTCCTGCTCATAGTTGGCCCTTTATTACTTGAGCCATGCCTCTAGCCCTGCTTTTTACTGGTTTTAGGGGTTGAGTCTCACAACCATTTCTGCCCAGATCTCCTCCTCCTTGTAGCAATGGTTTCAAGTATGAGTCACCTGCCCCAACCTAAAAATAATATTAAAACCTTGAAAAGGTAGCAAGTAATCAAAGTAGTGTAAGAATATGATAGACATTATAGTTATCCAGGATCATACTACTAGGGCTTGAGGCCTATAGCACAGAAGTGGTAGTATGCTTGTTTGACAAGAGCAAGACCCTGGTTTCAATCCACAATACTACAAAATTAACTTAAAGATAATAACTTGCGGATGTGAGGGCGATCCATTGATCACCAGGGTTGATTAGGCTGATCTGGCTGGCTAGGCAGGTGTTCCTTCCTCCCTCACCGCTCTGCCCCTCCTGAAGCTGTGCACTTGGTCGAAGAGGACAACCATCCCTGGTAGAGGAGGACTCGTCGCTCCCCTGCTAGAACCTCCAAAGATAACAACTTGCCTTAAGTTGATCCACAAGTTGTTTCACTAGCCAGAAGCTTTCTTGTAGCTATAATAGTGTACTTGACTTAGTCTTATTTATTCAATAAGCATACACTTTATGCACTGTGATGCTCCAGTGCTTAGAAAGGCTTTTGAAAGCACACAATGTTCTAGTTACTTTACTTGGAGAGGCAATTATGAGCAACCACTGTAGTTAAAAAGTAGTATGTGTCAAATGTGTTCATTTCTGTAAATCCTAGCTATTCAAGAGAAACCTCCCCATTATCCAGGACCTGTGTGTGGCAAGTACTGTCAGTGGATGACTGGGGGTCTGAAGATACCTAGATGTTTAGGCTTCTGGTCCCTAGGAAGATTTGGTAGACTGAGGCTCAAATAGGCCTGAAAATACCTAGAGCAGGTGGCCAAATGCCTATTCGTGTTTTCTTCATTTATAATTCTTTTTTTTTAAGCAGTGGTGGGGGAAAGAGGGTAGGATGGGGAAGTAGGAAAGGCTTGAAAAAAGGGAAGGGATTTATTTTTATTGAATGTCATTTTCAGTGTTTTTCCCTTCAGTCTAATCTTATATGTGGTGGAAAATGGTGTCATTGTGTTACTTGTGTTTCCATTGCACAAGATGATTTTCTGTGGTTTAACGACTCAGCCTTCAATAACAAGGAATTGCCTAGTGAGAAATCATTTCTTTCTTTAAAACTTGTAGGTGCTATCAATACCAGCCTTAAAAGTTTTTGCTGATTCTTGTTAATCATCTCCTTCTTTAACAAGAGAACAGGTCTCACCAGGTGCCAGTGGCTTATGCCTAATTCTAGCTACTCAAATGCAGGCAGAGATCTGAGTGAGGGTCCCAGTTTGAAGCCAGCACAGGCAGGAAAATCTGTAAGATGGCTTATCCCCAAGTAACAAACACAAAGCCAGAAGTGGAGCTGTGGCTCTCAAATGGTGGAACAAAAAAAGGTGAAGAACACTCAGGCTCTGAGTTCAAGCCCCGGGACTGGCAAAAAAAAAAAGAAAGAAAAAGAAAAAAAAAAAAGGTCTCAAGTTAGCATTTATCAATATCCACAATTTCACTATCTTCCTGGTTGGGTTTTTTGGTTTTTTTTTTTTGGTCAGTCATGGGGCCTAAACTCAGGGCCAGGACTTCAGCTCAAGGCAAGCGCTCTTCCACTTGAGCCACAGCACCACTTTTGCTTTTTTGATGGTTAACGGAGATAGTCTCATGGACTTTCCCTCCTGGGCTGGTTTTGAACCACAATCCTCAGATCTCAGCCTCATGAGTAACTAGGATTATAGGTGTGAGCCACCAGCACCCAGCTCTGGGTTTTAATTTTTAATCTGCTTTCTTCATCTTCACTTTTATAGTTACCCTGTGATTATATAAGAACAATGCTGATTTTCCATCTAGGATTGTGGTATATAGTTTAGCCAAAAAAATGTTTTAATGGTTGGAAAAAGTTAGACACATATTGTCAGTGACACACAGATTGGAAAATTTTGCACTGTTGCCATGCAAATAATACTGCTCCATTTTTTTTCAAGTTCTTAATTGTTTCTTCTGTATGTTCTATGAGAATTTGAGAACCCAAAATTCTGCATACAGTTCATGTTGATCTGTTGCCTCTTTAAAAATCTTAATAGTTGCCAAGTGCTGGTGGCTCACTCCTGTAATCCTAGCTACTCAAGAGGCTGAGACCTGAGCATTGTGGTTCAAAGCCAGCCCAGGCAGGAAAGTCCGTGAGACTCTTATCTCCAATTAACCCCCAGAAAAAAGGAAGTAGTGCTGTGGCTCAAGTAGTAGAGTGCTTGCTTTGAGCTGAAGAGCTGAGGGATAGCGCCCAGACCCAGAGTTCAAGTCCCACAACCGACAAAAAAAAAGTAATTTGTAAATTAAATTTTAACTAGAAAGAAAGAAGTCAGATGGTCCCAGAACAGCCACTTATGTTCTATCCCTCAGGAAATAATACTTTTTATAGCGTTTGCACTGTAATATTTATTGGGGAAACTTCCGATTTTAATATTTTTTCATCATTCCTAACTTGATTAGTACTATCAGTGGCCCATTTCAGAATGCAACAATATTAGAGATAATACATTGTTGTTTCAACATTCTGGGAAAGATTATTAGATGTCTACACTAAGTTAAAGCAGAAGCATAAAGGGAAATCATTTCAGCGTTTCTCAAGTAGTTAGCTCTCAAGGTGAATATGGTGGTGGTGACTGTTCTGCAGAGTGTTTCTCGTAGGCAGGTGGAGCATTGGGAACCTGTGAAAAAGAGAGGGAGAACGTGAGTTTGGCAGCAATGTATTTGTTTCTGAGGAGTGATGAAGTCAAACAGCCTCACATTTATACTTTCACTATGGAATGAGACTTCTAAGGGTCCACACTTAATTTCCACCCAATGAGGTAATTGTTAAATTTCACAAATGTGTGTGTCGAAACATTGTAGAGGCAAGGAGAGAAAAATCAGAATAAGGGGTTTCCCAAAATCTAAAAGTATATTTATTACTGAATTCTTTATGTCAGAAGAAGTCCCAAGACCTAATGAATTCTTTGAATCTGTTTGTATACAAAATATGCATTGCATCTTTACCACATAGATCCATGTAGTTGTGTTTAAAGGCTCATTTAAGGCGGGGGTGTATCTTTGGTGAGGCACTTTCCCTAGCATGGCAAGGCCCTGGATTCAAAACCCAGCACAACAAAGAACATCTATACTACCAACTGAGCAGAAATGTCGATCCTTCATTTAAAGCTCATAGCAATTCTGGGAAATGTTGCAGAGTGGGAAACTGAGGCATGGAGAAGTCACTTGTCCTAGGTCACACAACTAGTAAGTGATAGAGCTAAGAACCAAACACTGCTACTTGACATCTCAACCGTGATACTGTCCTGCACGTGTATCAGTGCTGTGCAACAGAAATAAAATGCAAGCCACAACTTTGAATTTTCTAATAGCTTCAACTTTAGAAAGCAGGTAAAATTAATATTTTACCTGCCATATCAAAATGTAATCATGTCAGCACGTAATCAGTATAGAAATGATTCATGTATATCCTTTTCATATAGTCTTTTAACATGGTATATATTATATCTTAGTTCAAACTACTGTGTTTCAACCAATGTTAAACACCAGATGGCACAGCTCTATGCAATTAGTAACAGGTACTTTTTTCTACACACACACACACTAATGAAAAATGTTCATCTAAATTTTTTTTTAAAAACTAGAATATATTGAGTTGCAAACCAAGTTGTTCTTTTGGCTCTTTAAATTGGCCCTGAAAAATATGAATACGAGAAGTTACAATTTAAGAAAATCTCTTTCTGTGGGTTTGGGTTTTTAGTTATTTTTATTGTGGTAAAAATATACTTAAAATTTTAATGTTTTTAGGTGTATAGTTTGCATTAAACATGTTATTAGCAATATACATGTTCATATTTTCCTTGCTTTCAGTGGAAATTGTTTCATTCACTTGAGTTAAAAGCAGCTGTACATGGGAAGGTGGCTCAGTGGTAGAGTGCTTGCCTTGCATGCATGAAGCCCTGAGTTTGATTCCTCAGCACCACATAAGCAGAAAAAGGCAGAAGTGGTACTGTGGCTCAAGTGGTAGAGCACTAGCCTTGAGCTGAAGAGCTGAGGGACAGCACCCAGGCCCAGAGTTCAGGCCCCACGACCAAACCCTTCCCCTCCCCCCAAAAAGCAGCTGTACATGAAACCACAGATGCACAATATCAACGTACCAGAGGGTCACAATTTTTCTCCTGAGATGGACAACTGTTCTCATAACCAAGTACTTCATGCAGGTATTTTTCTCTTGATGTACTTTGAGTAGCAGCATGAGGACTTTTGTTCTGAAATGTAAATGCATAAAAGTGACTGGGTAAGAAGCAATAACTTGAATTTACTGAAGAAAATGGAAGTTAATGTTAAGAATAGTTTTCAAGCTAGGTTCTGACACTTGCCTGTGTAACTTAAGTTCTGCCCACAGGTTAATCATTTACCCCTCTGAATTCCAGTTTTTGCATCTGCAAGTGTAAGGTAATATCACCTACCTCTCAGAGTTGTGGGAATTAACTAGAGGTGAAGTGCTAGTTCTGTACTTGGTACCCAACTGTTAGTCATCAGATAGTTTTGAAAGGAAGGGGAACAGTGACTAAACTTACGGAATTAGTCTGCAAAAACAGGAGAAAATTATATAAATAAAGGACAAGCCAAATGTGATGGCACATGGCCAATATTGGGGAGGTTAAAACAGGTGGTTCATGAGATAAAGACCAATTTGGGCTACAAATTCATATCCTTAAAAGAAAAAAAAATTAATTAAAGGCAAGCCAGGATCTGGTGGCTCACACACGTGATTCTAGCTACTCAGGAGGCCGAGATATGAGGGTCATGGTTCAAAGTCAGAAAAGCAGGAAAGCCTGTAAGACTCATCTCCACTTAACCACCAGAAAAGCCAGAAGTGGAACTTTGCTTTAAGTGGTAAAGCACTTGCCTTGAGCAAAAAAGCTAAAGGATAATGCCTAGGTTCTAAGGTCAATCCCCAGTAATGGGCCATAATGATATAAAATTAAAGGAAGAAAAGTACTTTCTCAGACAAATAAACATTGAGAGATCTACCCTGTAAAAAATGTTGAGTGTTTTATGAAGGAAAATAAGATACTATATATATATATATAGATATATATGTATATATCTATATATATGTATGTATATATTATACTTCAGAAAATAAATGAAGGTAAAATTAAAACTTTTCTAATTCTTAGTTCTAACATATAGCAACTTAATTGTGCATGGATATGTATATGAAATAACAATGATAAAGAGGTTGGGAGGAAAGAACAAGGATTATTTTGTTGAGGTATTTGTATACTATCCATGGAGTGGACTTGGATTAGCTGTAACTGTATACTTCAAATTCTAGGGCAACTATTCTAGGGCAATTTCTAGGGCAATAAGATATGCTAAGAAATACGCTAAAGAGAAAAATTGAATCATATATAATGGTTAAAACTACATAAGGACAAGCAAACAGTGGAAAACAAGAATAGCAGGAGGTAGAAAATGAAATATGATAGATATTAATCTATCAATAACCACTTAGAATGTTAAGGGTTTAAATACACCAATTAACAGATAACATCAGAATAGATTAAAAATGGTATTGAAGGTTTGGCTCAGGTGGTAGAGTTCCAGACAATTAGCAAAAGCAAGCATCAGATTCCTAGTTCAAAATCCAGTCTTGGAATAAAAAAAAAAAAGGAAAAAAAAACACCCACCAGACACCCGTGACTCACCTCTGTAATCCTAGCTCCTCAGGAGATCCTAGCTACTACTGAAATCTGAGACAGCAGTTCAAAGCCAAATTAGGCAGGAAAATCTATGAGACTCCTGTCTCCAATTAACCACCAAAAAAGCTGGACCTGGAACTGTGACTTAAGTGGTAAAACACTAGCCTTGAGCAAAAAGCTCAGGGTCAACACCCAGGCCATGAGTTCAAGCCCCAAGAATGACATGGACACACACAGGCACAAAGATACATGTGCATTAAAAGTACCTGGAGAAAGATACACAATGCTAACACAAATCAAAAAAACGTAGGAGCTCAGAGAGAGTAAGTACAAAAAAAACAGGGATAAGGTATTACATAATCACAAAGGGTTTTATTCTACAAGATGACATAATAGTACTGAATATATAGTCATCTAATAACAGGACAACAAGGGCTGAAGACATGGTTCAAGACATAGAGTGCAGGCCTACCCAGCTCGAGGCATTGAGTTCAAACCTCAAACCTCAATAACACAGAACTACATGAAATAAAAGCTGGTAGAATTCAAGAAGATATAATTGAACCTCATATATAGTTGGAGTTAAACTGGGGGACTTGGCCAGGTGCTAGTGGCTCACAGCTGTAATCCTAACTACTCAGGAGGCTGAGATTTGATGATTGAGGTTCAAAGCCAGCCCAGGCAGTAAAGTCCGTGAGACTTTTATCTCCATTAAACCACAAGAAAAGCAGAAGTGGTGCTGTGGCTCAAATGGTAGAGCACTAGCCTTGATCTGAAGAGCTGAGGGACAGCACCCAGGCCCAGAGTTCAAGCCCCAGGACCAACAAAAATAAATAAAAATAAAATTGGGAACTTTATTATCCTGCTGTTAGAAATGGAAAAGTCTAGCAGGCAAAAATTCATTGAGGAAATAGTTGAACCCACTCAAACTCACCAGTCAACTAGATGTGATAGACATCTACAAACTAGATGCTGTTGGTGCTATTGCTTATGGAACATTCACATTATGGAATATAAAACACCATAACATGTTTAAAAGAAGTACTGAAATTTCTACTGTTAGAGTTCAATGGAGTTAATCTAGAAATCAATGAAAAGAAGTATAGCTGAAAAATCCTAAAATACTTACAGATTAAACTGCATCCTTCTAACACATGGATGAAAAAAGAAATTGCAAGAAAAATTTTTAACATTTGAACTAAAATTGAAAATATAACTGGTAAAAGCAATACTTACAGGGATATTTACAACATCAAATATATTGGACATATAAATTAGATTAAATATATTACATATATTAGAAAAAAAGATTACATATATTAGAAAAGAGATGTATGGGGCTGGGAAGGTGGCTCAGTGGTAGAGTGCTTGCCTTGCATGCTCGAGGCCCTGGGTTCCATTCCTCAGCACCACATAAGCAAAAAGAAAAAAGCCAGAAGTGGCGCTGTGGCTCAAGTGGTAGAGCGCTAGCCTTGAGCTGAAGAGCTGAGGGACAGTGCCCAGGCCCAGAGTTCAGGCCCCACGACCGGACCCAAAAAAAAAAAAAGAAAAAAGAGATGTAAAATCAATCATCTAAATTTTCACCTTAGGAAAGTAGAAAAAAGAGCAAATTTAACTTGAACTAAGTAATAAAAAATAGACCAGAAATCAATAAAAATTGAAAACAAGAAATAAAAAACAAACCAAAAGGTGGTTCCTGGAAAAGATTTGATAAAATGGACAAACTCCTATTCATAATTAAAACGCTTAAATGGAGAACTCAGGAAAATTGCCTGAATGTTGCTAAAGAATAAATGCACAACTTCTATAGCTACCAACATACTTAATGGTGAGAAACCTTCCCCTATCAAGACTAGGTGCATTTTCTCTGCTGAGTCAATGAAGTACCCAATTTGCAGACATCTAAACTAATTTAGGGGACTGGTGTTGAAACATCAGGTATAGACAAAGCAAAAACAAAGTCCCAAGCAAGGTATGACAAAGTAGATAAGTATTGTTCCAAACATACTATTTGACTCACCACTCCTTTTCAACATCGTACTGGAAACTTCTATGTAATGCAATAACACAAGAAAAGGTTCACATATTGGGAAGAAAGAAAAGTATGCTCATGATTATTGCTTTTTCCCCAACTTTTCTGAATCTCTCACCCACCATAGAACGGCATGTGACACATCGTCCCAGTTCATTGCTAGTTGTCTGCACTTACATTCAAATTCGTGTGAATATAAAAATGCAGACTGTCCCCAGAGGTAGTCCAGAATCTGCATTTTAGTAAGAACCTCTAGGTGAGGTGCACCTTTGACTATCTCTAAAGAAACATAATACCTTGAAAAATGAGTATAAATTGAACTAGTAATAAAGATTTGCCTTGAGATTGTAATCCCAAGCCCAAAAGTATATCCTAAACATCCAAGCAAAGATGTAAAACATCTAAACCAATGTCCACTGCTTAAAAAATCATTTCTTACTCCCTGCTGCAGGAATGTGTTGCTGTTAAAAAAAAAAAAGCAATCTTGCCAAAGGTATTTCCCAGGGCTCAGGGAAGTTGTTAGTTAACCAAGGGAGAAACTGCAGGTGACCTAAATGTTGACCAACCTTGCTACCGCACCCTGATCAATGAAATCTGGCAAGAACACACTTCCCAGCAAGCCAGTATCAAAGATCACCAAGGAAGTCATCTGAGACCAAATGCTGATGTCTTACAAATTAGTAATTGCTGTGAGCCAGACTTTGTGCTAGACACTGAAGGCCCAGTATCTTAGCTCATTAAGACAAGAGGGAAAGAGGCTAAAGTAAATAAACAATTACAGTACAGACTATTGTCTACCTCACGCTAGAGGTGTATAATAAGTCATTGACAGAAAGCAAGTCCTCCTTCTCCTCACTTAGGACAGAGAGGTATCATACCAACTGGAGCTCTATTCCCTAAGCTCCTAATCCAAAGCTTTCCTCCAGGTTTTATTTGTAGCCTTCTTGTTCCAATCCAACCATTTCTGTTTCTTCTCATCAAATGTGAATAAACTAGAGGGCTCTGCTTTGTGACATGTCAACTCCCAAAGTTGCCCAGTTTCCATGATTTATATTTGGGCCTCTCTGATAAGGGACACATTAGGGAAAAAGAAATGTTTGACAGTCTCCTCACAAAGAGGGAACAAAATTAGAAAATGCATCTCTCGCTTTCCTCTTCTTTCTTAAGACTGCCAACCTCGACCCTCTCCACACACATGGCCATTCCTTTTTTTTTTTTTTTGGTCGGTTATGGGGCTTGAACTCTGGGCCTGGGCACTGCCCCTCAGCTCTTCAGCTCAAGGCAAACACTCTACCACTTGAGCCACAGCGCTACTTTTGTTTTTCTGAGTGGTTTATTGGAGATAAGAGTCTCACAGACTTTCCTGCCCCAGCTGGCTTTGAACCGCGTTCATCAGATCTCAGCCTCCTGAGTGGCTAGGATTACAGGTGTGAATCACTGGCGCCCAGCCCATTCTTCTTCATAGAACCTTTTCTCCTCCATGAGTTGCTTTCTGAATGAAGTATGTGACTTTCTAGCATCTTTTTCTTTTTTTGGTCGTGGGGCCTGAACTCTGGGCCTGGGTGCTGTCCCTCAGCTCTTCAGCTCAAGGCTAACGCTCTACAACTTGAGCCACAGTGCCACTTCCGGTTTTCTGAGTGGTTTATTGGAGATAAGAGTCTCATGGACGTTCCTTCCGGCGGTTGGCTTGGAACCATGATCCTCAAATCTCAGTCTCCTGAGTAGCTAGGATTACAGGTGTGAGTCACCACGCCCGGCTTCCAACATCTTTTATAGAGAGATAATACCATTCCATTTTGCATAAACCTGAAAAGCATTCAGATCTGTAAAAACTAAAAAAAAAAAAAATTGCAACCCTTTCATTCTATCACTTACTGTAGACAATGTCTTTGGTTGAAAAAGTGTTAAAAGTGACGTCTAGGCTGGGTATCAGTGGCTCACGCCTGTAATCCTAGCTGAGGAGGCTGAGGTCTGAGGATTGCAGTTCAAAGCTGCTGGGGCAGGAAAGTCCATGAGACTCTTATCTCTAATTAGCCACCAAAAAGTTGGAAGTGAAGCTGTGGCTCAAATGGTAGAAGCAAAACAAAAAACCTAAGGGATAACACGTAGGCCCTGACTTCAAGTCCTAGTACTAGCACTAAATAAATAATAAATGTGTTGGCTTTGAGGCAAGGTTGCTGAAATATATCGTTCTTTCTTTCTCTGGGCCTGGGCGCTGTCCCTGCACTCTTCAGTTCAAGGTGAGCACTCTACCGCCTGAGCACAGCGCCACTTCCTGAAATTTATCGCTCTTACAGTGTGTATACCTAGTTGGTGTTTGACACGCATGGAAGAACCTGGTGCCAGCAGAGTGAACTATGTCATTGTGTTAGCTTCCTACTTATATGGGTAAGGAAGAAAAAGATACCATTAGACTATATTTGCCACCTAAGGAAGATGGAGTCTATAACAAACCGACAGATAGATGATGAATAGATGATAGATAGATAGACAGACAGACAGACAAATAGATAGACACACATAGATACATAGATAGATTTAAAATACAGTTATGTAGCAGGTGCTGGTAGCTCATACCTATAATCCTAGCTACTCAGGAGGCTGAGATCTGAGGGTCATAGTTTGAAGCCAACCCAGGCAAGAAAGTCTTTGGGACTCTTATCTCCAATTAACCACAAGAAAACCGGAAGTACAGCCAGGGCCTAAAGTGGTAGAGCCCTGGCCTTGAGCAAAAAGAGCTGAGGGACAGTCGTAGGCCCTGAGTTCCAGCCTCAGAGCTGACTAAAACAAACTAACACACACACACACACACACACACACATACAGATGCCTAGTGCTGCTGAGTGGAGGATAGTTTCCTCCTTGCACTGATGTCCAGAGGTCTTCTCCCAGGACCCTTTAGTGTGACAATTAAAAGAACCTGGACCTCCTGTGGTGATGAAAGATATGAAGAGGCAAAGTAGGAGAAATGGGCCATTAACAAAACCAACAAGAACCTCCAGAAGAATTGGTAAAAGCTGGGGAGTCTAACATGCCTTTTCTTCTGTGGCTCCCACACTCTTAGTGCTCAGCAAACACCACAGTCAAGTATTCAAGTTTGCTTCAAGTACAACCAGAGATGGGGCAAATCCTGGTTGGAGTTTGTGCCTGGGCAGAAACAAAGGAAGAGTTGCTAGAAATGTAATGTGTAGGGAAGATTCATCAGAAGCAGGATTCCAAGCTACAGGTGATCATAAAACATGGTATCCCATTCCCAGAAATTCATAGATGTGGAAAGGGGTTCTGGATCTAGAAAGATCCCACCAACCGTCAGGATTCTGTAGCCACTTCGTCTTCTACAATACCAGCAGCCGATGAGCAGTAAAATTCCCAGGACCACTGTCAAGACGCCAATTCCTGCAGCCCTGGCCCAAGAGACAGACAAGTCCAACATGTCACACACACAAACATCATTCAAGATTTCTATGAAATAGAAATCAAGCTTCTCACTTCACTGGAGCTTTATTAGTGCGGACAAGCACCTTGAGTCCCCAGTTACTGGGTAGCACTATCTTTTCTTCTCATTGGGGCTATTGTCCCCAACTCAGTCCACTAAAAGGAAGTAAAATTAACTCTGAATATGTACTTCAAGCCAGTAAAACTATTACACATTACCTTATGGGTTTGTTGGTTGGTTGGTTGTTGTTGTTGGTGGTGGTGGGGTTTGAACTTAGGGCCTGGGCACTGTTCCTGAGCTCTTTTGCTCAAGGCTACTACTCTACCAGTTTGAGCCACAGCTCCACTTCTGGTTTTTGAGGGGTTAATTGGAGATAAGAGTCTCACGGGGACTTTTGTGCCTGAGCTTCGAACCACAATCTTCAGATCTCAGCCTCCAGAGTAGCTAGGATTACAGGTGTGAGCCACTGGCACTCGGCCATGTGTATATATACATATATATGTATGTATATATATATATATATATATAATTTTTATTATGGGGCTTGAACTCTGGGCCTGGGCGCTGTCCCTCAGCTCTTCATCAAGGCTAGCGCTCTACCACTTGAGCCACAGTGCCACTTCCAGTTTTCTGGTGGTTTATTGGAGATAAGAGTCTCACAGACATTCCTGCATGGGCTATCTTTGAACCAGTATCCTCGGATCTCAGCTTCCTGAGTAGCCAGGATTACAGGCATGAACCACTGGTGGTCAGCTTATATAGTTTTTTAAATTCTCACAATAACCCTGTAAGGTACATACCTTTAATTAACACACACACACACACACACACACACCTCATTTCACGGAAAATAAATGCAGAAGTTCCAATACAGATGTGCCCGTTCCCCTGCTGATGGTCATCCAGCACTAGCATATGACAGAGCTAGGATTTGAACCCAAGGCTATCTCTGACCCCCACCACGCCCCCCCCTCCAGCCTGGCCTTGCCCCTCATCCTGGTAGCCCTGTGAAGAAGAATCTGAGCTGAACCTAGAACAAAGCTATAGTGTCACTTAGGGAAGAATCTTGACTTGCACTGCAGGCTTTTTTTTTCTGGGGGAATCACAACAGGCTCTTGAGCCTTCGGTCCAGTGACCCCAGGGAAATGTTAGAGTTGCCACAAAAACTCACCTGTCTGAACCTGGACTGTGGTACTTCAGCCCAGCCTTTGCAAGTTAGCTGGAATCTGCCTGATGGTTTACATCACAGCATAATCGATATGAACTTGCCAAGAAAAGCTCTGCAGAGCTGGGTGATGCATAAAAGACTGAGTAGCTAACGGGGCAGCAAGACTGAACAGAAAAGCTTCTAGAGGAAAGTTTTTCCAGTCCACCTTTATCTCAAAGCTGCTAAGATAGCAAATGTATCCTGTCTTAACTCCAAGCGCAACAGACAGAACCAGTGCTATAGACAGAAATCTCTGATCCAATTATATAGGCCAGTCCACCCATCGTATATAGAATCTATATACCGCAGGTGAGACCAACCAATATTTGTCAGTGTCATTACTAGCATTCTAACTCCTCCGTGGGAAACACCCATACACATGCTTTTATTCTCACAACAATCCTCTGAGATTGGTGTCCTTTTAGTTTTACAGCTGACATTAGGCTGGTAAAATGTCCAAAGTTGCATATTCAGTAATGGCAGAATCAGCAGTCCCAGTAACTAGCACTAGAGAGCCAATAAGGAAGCCCTGGGATTTGGGCCAAATCTAAATCTCCTGTCTTCTAGACAAGTGCTTTCCCCGCAGAAATTACTCTTTCCTAAAACAAAGCTGTCACAAGATGTGTTTGTTGGGCTCTTATGACTGCAGGCAGCTGATTCAATTCCCAGCATGCCTGTGTTCTAACTTTACTGTGCAGTCTCCCCTTCAATGTCCTAACACAGAAGGAACTCTGTTCCAGTTCTTTATGGACAGTCATGTTGTTTTCACATGATCCAGAGCATAAAACACCAAGCACTGGCAAGATGCTAGTGCAAACCACGGCCCAGCCTAGCAGGTTTCCTCAGTCACCAAACTACACTCTGAGGCACAGCCATCTGAGATGCCTGTTAAGTACACCTCCTTCTACACCCTTGATCTACCAACTCAGCCTCTTGGGTGGCAGCATCTAAGAATCTGCATTTAAGCAAGCTTCCTGGATGACTTATATCCATTCAACTGTGATAATTTCTGCAGGTAATAAGCTGGGTACTGGTGGCTCATGTCTATAATTTTAGCTACTCAGGAGGCTGAGATCTGAGGATAGAGGTTCAAAACCAGCCTGGGCAGGAAAGTCCATGAGACTCCTAGCTCCAATTAACCATTAAAAAGCTGGAAGTGGAGCTATGGTTCAAATGGTAGAGCACTAGCCTTGAGCAGAAATGACTCAAGGACAGTGCCTAGGCCCTGAGTTCAAGCCCAAGGACTGGCACAAAACAAAAATAAAAAATTCCCTCACATGCAAGTCAATGAATATTTTCCTTTTATGCTAGAACCCAGTGGTTCTAGCTCCCCTATGCTCTCAGCGAAGATAGCAGAGAATTCACCTAAGCCAACATAGGTCCCATGTTCAGAATTCAAGATAGCGAGCTGATGCCTTTGATGATGGGGTTCTTTTACATGAGGGTGGTAATATACCCTGTGTGATCTTTTAAGTTGTCATTCCCAACTCAAACCCCACCTTTCTATATTCTTCTCTGAGAAGCCAACTGGAGTCTGCAGACCCCCACATCTTTGATCATTGACTCTAGTTGGTGCCCAAGAGAAGTCTGCAAGAATAGATGAGCTTCTCCTTCCAGTGTGCTTCTGGTTTTGGATCAGTATCTACAGGCCAACAGCTCTTCCCACTGTCAGGCAATCCCATCTACCAGCTCTGCTTCTCTTAGACCCAGGCTCTAGGCCCCTTATCAGCCAACCAGTGCCCCTACCTCAGAGGCCTGAGCTCTTGATGCATGCACCTTCTTTAAGGTCCAGAGGCACCCAAACCAGCTAAACAGAAATTCTTCCTCTGAGATGCCAGTCTCATTCCTGAAGGGTCCTTCCTCTACTGCAGGTTCTGAAGACTCCAACTCTTCTTCTCTAGTCTGCAGTTACCCGCTCTGGATTCCTTCGGTGTCTTTGCCTCGTCAGTCCCAGCACTCACCTAACCAATTCCTTACACCGAAGTTGAAATGCATGGTTGGCTTCTGTCTTCTTGACTAGACCTTGAGAATAATCTGCATAGGCTGTGAATGCCATCTGGCCACCAGTTTCTCCAGCTGGGATGGTGACACTACAAAGGATAGCTTAGGTGTGCTTTTGTTTTTGTTTTTGTCAGTCATGGGGCTTGAACTCAGGGCCTGGGTGTTATCCCTGAGCATTTTTTGCTCAAGGATAGCTTTCTACCACTTTGAATCACAGTGCCACTTCTGGTTTTCAGGTGGTTAATTGGGAGTCTCACAGACTTTCCTGCCCAGGCTGGTTTCGAATTGTGATCCTCAGCTCTCAGCCTTCTGAGTAAGTAGCTAGGATTACAGGTGTAAGCCACCAGCACCCAGCTTGGCAGTTTAGGTTTTTTTGTTTTTTTTGGGGGGGGGGGTGGTCCAGTCATGGGGCCTGAACTCTGGGCCTGGGCGCTGTCCCTCAGCTCTTCAGCTCAAGGCTAGCGCTCTACCACTTGAGCCACAGCACCACTTACGGCTTTTCTCTTTTTGCTTATGTGGTGGTGAGGAATTGAACCCAGGGCCTCATGCATGCAAGGCAAGCACTCTACCACTGAGCCACCTTCCCAGCCCCGACAGTTTAGGTTTTAACCTCTGGAGCTCACCAAGTCCTGCCTCCAGACTTCAGCTCCATAACATAAATGGCTGATCTCTGCCCCAGCCTCTCTTCAGATGGAATTGTGTAAATATTTGCCTCTGCTGAAGTTTAGTGCTTCACAGGCAAATAAACCCAGACTTAAAGCCTAACACCACCACATTCGGTTACACCTTTCCAAGTATCTAAGTCTTTCCTCATGTACCACACAGCAAAAAGGACACAACTGTCACTGGGGGGTAAGGGTAGGGTGAATGGACCTTGCCTTCCCTTGCTCTCCCCTTCTCTTGGCAAGACACAGAGCTGATGACGTGCCTTCTTAACCACATAGTCAAAGGCCACGTCCAGGGGGCGTCACCCAGGGAAAAAAAGGAAACTGACAATCCCTGAACTTTAAACTCTTCTGCTACTATGTGAGAGATAAGTAAAATTATATTTTCACTGTTGATTTATCCTACAGAAGCTAAAAACATGTTCTAATACCATATACAATATTACCTGTCCCCCCCCCCAAAAAAAGTGTATATTTGTGCTTATAATAATTTGTTCCAAGATACCACTACCTAAGAAGAATTGACAGAACAAAGCTTAAAGATAAGCCATGTTAAGCTAGGTACCAGTAGCTCATGCCTGTAAGCCTAACTACTCAGGAGGCTGAGATCTGAGGATCACAGTTGGAAGCCAACCCCAGCAGGAAAGTCTATGAGATTAATTAAATTCAACACCAAAAAAAGCCAAAGTAGAGCGATGGCTTTACCCTTTAGCAAAAAAGCTCAAGGACAGCTGGATAGGCCCTCAGTTCAAGCCCCAGAACTAGTACCCTCCCCCACCCCCCAAATAAGGCATATTTATCCTGGACAGATGTTTTCCAGCTTGAGAATTTACAGATAATGGCCAAGAATGTGGACAAAAATAGCAAAATCTAATTTTTAAAAAATCCTTCCTATCTCCCTGCTTATTTGGTCCCAGAAAAAAAAGGAAGTAAGCCCCTCCCTTTGTTGTCAGAGTTTTTTACTCTGGGGAGAGAAATAGGGAGATTTAAGTGCCGTGCCAGCAAACTACAAACAGGAACCCCCCCCCCCCCCCGCCCGCTCAGTTTGGTGGTGAACTTACTCTTCCGTTGTGATGTGAGAGTGGCTGTGCCCCTTCCTGGGGTAACCATAGTAAACATCTTGTCCTGGCATCTCCTAGGGTTCAGACACAGGATACCTAACAGAAAAGACATCATTGATTGCATGCAAAGCATCCTTACACATCATCTTATAAACACCCACAGTGTCCAATACTGACAGGCAGACCCAATGAGTTCTCTGCCAAGGATTTGTAGTGAATGCTTCCATTAATTTCACAGGTTAGAGAAATAGCTCAGGGCCAAGCACCAGTGGCTCACACCTGTAATCCTAACTACTCAGGAAACTGAGATCTGAGGATCATGATTTGCTGCGAGCCCAAGCGAGAGTCCTGGAGACTCTTATTTCCAGTTAATCACTAAAAAGCTGGAAGTGGAAGTATGGTTCAAGCGATAGAGCACTACGCTGGAATGAAAAACAAAGGGGCAGCACCCAGGCCCTGAGTTCATGATCCAGTACTGGCACACACACACACAAAAGTGTAGGCTTCTAACTCTTCCCACTAAGAGAAAATTAACTTTGAAGAAGAAACTACAAGTGAATTTTTTTATTTCAACTTAGCTATTATTTAGGAGAAAATGCTCCTCAATTGGTTTCAGCTTGACTTTATGTCATTAGCTTTTAGAGAAACTATTTAGAAAGCAAATAAAAAGAATTTTTTGTCAGGTGCCAGTGGCTCATGCCTGTAATTCGGGAGGCTGAGATCTGAGGACTGTGGTTTGAAGTCATCTTGGTCTGGAAAGTCTATGAGACTCTTATTTCCAATGAACTACCAAAAAAGTCAGAAATGGAGCTGGGGCTCAAGTCGTAGAGCACTAGCTTTGAGCAAAACAAAGTCAGGGACAGTGCCCAAGCTCTGAGTTTAAACCCTAGGACTAGCATCAAAAAATAAAATAAAGTAAAAAGCATTCTTATTCATTCTCCACCCTTGCAGACACAAAGTAGTGAATGGTCAAAGTTATCATTTGACACCAGTCCCCAGAAAAACTGAAGACTGGGATGCATTGCTGTGTACTAAGCACACCCAGCCCAAGCCTGGCTATGGTTATGAGTCACAGTGATCAAACCCCACATCTTCCAGTCCTACTTTTTAACAAAGGAAATGATCTCGGTGAAGTGCTTGTCAAGATGTATGTTACCCAAAATAAAGGTGAAGAAATCTAGGACCTGACTTTTCTCTAACAATTTCTTTTCTCTCCCACCTAAGTCAGATTCTGCTCCTGCCTAGCTTAAATAAATGACCACACACACACACACACACACACACACACAAAACAAAAAGCCCAAGATCAGACGTGGTTGTAATTAAAGTAAGCTCATTAAAAACCAATCCTGGAAGCTTCTCTCCTTGAGATTGTGTTTTTCTTCCCTCTACTGTTCTTGTGAATTTCAAAGCTCTAATCCCCATAGAATTACATTAATGAGCTCCAATTTGAACAACAGGGACAATGGGAGAGCTGAGTTGAGATTTCACCACGTGACTCCTTTCCGTTGGGGCATTTTATATGTAATTTGCCCTTCCCAGTTGTAAAAAAGAAATTACAGTTGAACTCGCTGACCGTCTCAGGAGAATAATGGAGGGCTGATCCTTGTGTTCACATGGCAAATAAGAAGCTCAATTAATTCTGCCTTAAATTGTTTTTGTACATTGGTACCTCAAGTTCAGTGCTTTGACAAACCGTGTGGGGACAGAAAAAGTATCTATTCCTGCTCAAACCAGGAGAAACCATCCTTGAAGTGACAGAATAGATCCAGTGCAGAGGGATTGCTTGTCACCAGCCACCAGACTGCCACTCTCCTCCCAAATAATCGCTATCTTGGACTGGAAGCCTCAGAAGTTCTGCTGAAGTCTAGCAATGAGGGAGGCGCTGAGAGAGAAATGAAAGTTCACAGCACTCCCCAAACACTATTCTTGGGAGAACTGGATAACACTTATTTGGGGAAGGGGGCAATGTTCTTACCTTCCTTGGTGATACCGTCCTCTGCCCGTCCTCTGGCTCTGTGTGGGTGAAGATTGCTTCTTTGGCTCTTAATCTTTACCATCAAAAATGTTTTTCTTGATCTTGAGTCCCATGGTGGTCACGAGTTTGAATTCCTGACAGAGTGGTCTGATTGCTTATTTAGCATGAAAGAAATCAACTTCATTCCAAACTTTAAAACACACACAGAGCTCATGTGGCCTCTTTGTTTCCCCTAATCCCAATGCTTTATCCTAAGGAAACCACTTAATTTCAAAGCTGGGTCTCCTGAGTAGGGTTGCCAGAGAAAAAAATAGGATAACCAGTTAAGCTTGGATTTCATTTAAATGATGAATCATTGCTTTATAATTATGCCTCATGTAATATTTGTACTTATAAATGTCTCATATTGCCTTGAACACACTAAAAATTTACTTGTAGTAAATTATTAAATTATTAAACTAGGAACCCTATAATCTCTCTCTCATTTCTGCCTCACGAGTAAGCTTAGATCTGAAGATCATCTAAGCCCTACACTCTCCCAGCCACAAGAGGAAAATGAAATCCCTAGAAAAGAGCAACTTCAATGTAAAGTTCAGGGTTATGTATGGTTTATCTCCCAAAAAGTGGTGATTGCTAGTCTACCTAGATAGATAGATAGATAGATAGATAGATAGATATAAGATGGTGTGTATAATTTCTTTTCCTTTTTTTTTTGTCTGAGACTGGGACTTGAACTTGGTATCTTATGCTTTCATTCATTGGCTGGTACTCTACTCACTGGGCCACCCAAGGCGATGAGGACCTATGTTTGCATGCAGCTGGACTTACAACTAAGTCATCCCCTAGATGACCAGAGGGAGACCACAGAAGGAGAGGTATTGCCATGGATCTTGGACAAGGTGAAGCTGCTAGATCTTATTTAAGTCTTCTGGTGACACATGCTGACTCACGGACCTTAAATGTGCATTTTGCCAGAGGTTACTGCATGGCAGCTGTCACCAGTTCTTTACTCTAGAGAGAGCTCCATTCCAGACACAGCATGGTGCTGAACTACTTCCTGTCAGATGTCTGCCCTCCAACTAGTTTTCTTCGTAAGATTCAAGGAAGGAGTCTAAAATCTTCCACAAGCATCTCTTTGGGTCCTGAGTGATTTGCTGCTTCTAAGTGCCCAGTCCTTCAGGGTCACAACCAGGATAAGCTGAATTAGGCTTCTTCCAATAAGGGTATTCTGGCAACATCGGCCTGAAAATCCTACCCCATCCTGTTCCTGGGAAGCCCCCAGAAGTTCCCCTTAACTAAGTCCTAGTCCCTGTCCTTAAATTGGCCTTGAGCCCACCCTGAAGCCTGCCCAACTAGGCCTTATCTACTTGACCCTTAGCACTTCCCAAACGACTCCCATCTTCCCTGCGATAACAGCAAGGACTCTGGTTCAAATTACCTGTGTTTCACAACTTCAGTCTACTTGACCTCGGGAGACACTAAGGAAGCTTCCAAACCTCAGTGCATGCACTTAAAAACTGGGGCTTAATAGTTTCCACTCCACAAGTTCACCATGACAGTCTAAAGAAATAATGCTTTCAACTGCCTGGCAAAGCATCTGGCTCAGAATATGCTTAGTCACAATTGGGTAAACTGTTCCTATGAGGCTGCGCACTTGTTATCTCTTCCTGGGGCAGCTCAGATGGCCCTGCCAATTCCTCTGCCCTGTCCAGGATTAGTACTACACTGTTCATAATTTGCAGGCCACTGACTCATTCTCTGCTGCCCTCTACTGGGCATTGTCTCCCGTGCACTACACAAGCCCATCTCAGGAAGGGACTTGGAGATACCTTTGATCTTTTCAAAATGCACCTGCTGCCTGGTGCTGGTGGCTCATGCCTGTAATCCTAGCTACTCAAGAGGCTCAAAGCCAGCTCAGGCAGGAAAGTCTGTGAGACTCTTATCTCCAATAAACTACTCAGAAAATGCTAGAAGTGGTGCTGTGGTTCCAGTGGTAGAGTGCTAGCCATGGACACAAAGAGGCTCAGGGACAGTGGCCAGGCCCTGAGTTCAACCCTCAGGCCTGGCAAAAACAACAACAACAACAACAACAACAAAAAACCACCTGCTTACAGTCTCAGGGACCAGAATCTTCTCAGAGATCAGCATCCTCTTTGAGACGTAGGATCTTCCTCAATGCTCCCCTCAAGACTGTGAGCTTTAATCTCACACACATACATCTAAAGACATGGGGTTGATCCTACTGCATTCTGTAGAAGCTGGTCAAATGAGCTGGCAGTTGGAAGATAGACAAGACAAGTAGACACATCTGTGACCGAGGCAGGTGCTGACAGACTCTTCACTCGGTGACATGGAAGCTTTGAATCCCAGCTCTCCTTGTTTATTACATGTGAGACCCAGGCAAGTCACTTCCTCTCCCCTTCTGAACATCATCTTCATCTGCAAAATGGGATTAAAGAATAATTACAAAATTGCCATGAGAATTAGATGAGATGCTATATGTAAAATCATGTAGCTCCGTGTCTGATGAGTTACTGAAATTGGAGAAAGGCTGGGGGCTCTGTGAATTGTCTGTGAACATGAAAGCACCTGGTGAGGGATGGCAGGTAAGCCTGGGAGCTCAGGATCATGGCTGAAATGGCTAAATGATGATCACCTAATAAGTCACCGCTCCTGGGGTTAGGCCTCAGGCAGAGAGATTCCGAAGGTAGCAGTGGGGAAACAGAACAGGAACAGAGGAGGCTGTGTGGAGGGAACAACAGAGTTACCCCTTCTTCCTCCGATGTTCAAGATCTCTTGCTGCTCCTGCTGGACTCCATGTGGCTTTCTCACAAGGAATGGGAAGGACTCCATCAAGGAAAGGTAGTCCAGGTGAACTAGCCTTGGCTCAACATGGGCACCGCAGCTGGCTCATAGGGGAGGACACAGCCCCGTGTCCAATGCCCTACAGCCACTTTGAATAGTCACCACCAGGGACTAGATTTTCACCATCAGGTGGACAGATACTGAAGGGTCAGCCTAATGTTCGTGATGATGTGAGATTATACAGGACGGCCAGGGTCTTGGTTCTGTGTGAGTTCAGGAGGCACAGAAAGACTTGACAGATGTGGACATCACTGGAGTCTGGAACAGGCTCACCAGGCATGAGAAGGGAAGCCATTCCAGATAGAAGATTTATAGTGGATTTTTGTCAGTCACAATGTGTGGGGGGGAGGTGTGAAGGAAAGTGACATCAGGTGAGTATGGACCAGCAGGTAGATTTGGGGAACCGAGGCATTCTCCATGACTGTAGCTCCAAATATAAGAAATGGAATGGGAGACTGAGGCTAGGTCTTGGATGCCAAAAGTCCCACAACACCACAAGAAACCTGTTGAGCTACCTACAGGCTGTTTTGAGTCACAGAAAAGTTTAAACAGAGGTAATTGCGGGCTGATCAGACTCAGGGACAGTCTATTTTCCAGGATCATAAAGTTATTCACTTTCTAGGGGAGTTGTAAAGATTGCCTGTGTGTGACAACACTTTATAAATGGTAAAGCATATTGATGTGAGACTTAGAGCAACAGCTTGTTCTTCATTGGTAGGATATAGAATTGATAAAGGGCAAATAGGAGGAGGCTGGACTTTGGATTTGGATCCAAATTCTTGCTCCAAAATTGAAGGTCATGTGTCTTCAGGTATTCGAGAATTGTAGGCTCCATCTCTGCACAATGAGAACACAATGTCTCAGAAAAGTGGAAAGGAGCAGTCTGGTGTGCTCGGCCTGGAGAAAGCGATTGTGCTAGTTCATGATCTTTGATAACAAACAACAGCAACTGGAATCTGGCTACAAGGAAATTAAAGACAGGCTACAAATGATCCCAGAGAACTGAAGACAAGTCTAAGTAAATTAGGCCTTTAAAAAGAATAGAATGAAACTGGGCGCCGGTGGCTCACGTCTGTAATCCTAGCTACTCAGGAGGGTGAGATCTGAGGATTTTGCTTCAAAGCCAGCCTGGGCAGGAAAGTCTGTGAGACTCTTAACTCCATCACTAGAAAACCAGAAGTGGTGCTGTGGCTCAAGTGGTAGAGTGCTCGCTTTGAACTGAAGAGCTGAGGGACAGCGCCCAGGCCCAGAGTTCAAGACCTATGACCACCACCACCAACAACAAAAAAGAATAGAATGAACCAGATGTAGTGACTCAAGCCTATAATCTTAGCTACTTGGGAGACAGAGATCAAAAGACTGGTTTGAAAGTGGGCAAAAAAAAGAAGTTTGTGAAAATTCCATTTCAACCAATGGCTGGTGCAGTGGGACATGCCTGTCATTCTTAGCATCATGAGGAAGCATAATTAAGATCAAAGCCTAGGCCAGCTTGGGCAAAAAAGCAAGTCTTGAAAATAACCAACATAAAATGAGGCTGGAGGCATGACTCAAGTGGTAGAGTACCTATCTAGACAGATCAAGGCCTTGACTTTGATCCCCATACTGTCAAAAGAGAGACTAGAATGGCCATGTATATTGATATACACCTGTGATTCTAGTGAGACTGAGACCCTTTTTTTTAAAGATAGGACAGGACAGGATAGGATAGGATAGAATATGATAGGATGATGTTGCTTTTGGGCATAAGTAGCAATAATTGATGGCTGATCCCTTAGGTTGTGGCCACCAGGATGACATCATTTTACACCATGTCTATCTTTGTGTGCTAGATCCTGTTTCCTCAGAGGACCTCGTTTAGCTAGCATGGCTCTCATGTCAAATCCTCTCCCAAGGTAAGATAGGGGTTAACACCCACCCATGGAGGATGATGCAACAAGGAAAGAGAAATTCAGAAGGAATGAAGATTGTTTTCCAAAAGAAGAAAGAAGAGATGCCAGAGGGACAGGGCTGCTGCCACTGTACCTAGCAAGAAGTGATCACCAACGTAATATAGAGTTCATAGAGCAAGGATTTGTCCCTGAAAAGTCTTCCTAGCCTTCATTGTTTCTGAAAAAACCCATGGGAAGAATCCAGTTTTATTTCAGGAAATCTTGGAGGTGATCTGCTTACACTCTCATCCTGCCACTCCATGACTCTACTCCTATCTGCTGTGAATCTACTGATTCCTGAGTCCCAGCAAGGTTGGGGTTACATACCTATATATCTATGTATACACAAGCACAACCTGTCACATAGTAGAAACCCAATGAACCATGCTGTTGCTCGGAGCTCATTTCCTGTGAATTTTTAAAGAAGTAGAGCTTTTGGGGAAAACGTGAATGCTCAAGCCTGTTGAGCTGGGCTGCCTTATGAGAAGAGTCTAGAGAGCTGTATGGAGAAAGCTTTGAGACTTCAGCTCCCATGAACTGGCAAAATGCTGGACTGGTG